ATTGGTTAAAAGGACACTAAAATGTAGCAAAGTGGAGACAAATCTTTTTCTCGCGCAGGTATCTGGAGCCTATTCGGAAACTCGAAAATCTATAAAAAGAATCGCTCGACTTAATTCAAGTCAGTCAGATACTGAGTTTCGAGAGATATTAGAAGACCCCACGCATGCCAACACACTGACTCGATAACTCTACCAGCCTCTCAACAACTCAACACAACTCGCACAACTATTGCCGCTTGAAGAAACTTAACTTACAATTTACTAAAAAGTGACATTATCACTACAAAACAGTAATTGTACATTCAATCAACTTTAGCCTATCAGTTAAAGGCGAACAACTCTTCATAACTTAAATCAACACTAGCAGTTGTCATACACATACAAACTATCGCTTGAACTTACACAATTGACAATTTTCCTTGCAGATATCAAACTATTTTAATTTCACAAACAAACTTAAACTATCAACCTTTACTCACTAAATTTCTGCATGGAAAATCTTTGTAATCTTATCTCACTTGCCACATTTAACAAGCAACTTATTATCACTTTGTATATGTCAAATATATATATATATATAAATTCACGTTATTGTTGAAATCTCTAATGACGTTGTTTTCAGTAATTTCTTGAAGTTGAATTGTCTATTTATTTTTGTTTGATTTATTTGTTGTGGATAAATGCATTACGATCACGCACATTCTTGGCCTTCACAAAAAATTACCTTCTGATACATCTTACTCAGCATAGATTCCGCAACAACCAGATGGTGAAAGAAAGGAAACTAAAGCGGTTGTTTCAATTAGTTTGCAAAAGGGTGTATGTCTACTATTTTATTTTATTCTTATACAAATCAAACCTATGTCGACCGTTTTTTTATTCTTATACAAATCAAACCTATGTCGACCATTTTTTTTATTCTTATACAAATCAAACCTATGTCGACCATTTTTTTTATTCTTATACAAATCAAACCTATGTCGACCGTTTTTTTATTCTCATGCAAACACAACCTATGCCTACCTTTTCATTTCATTCCCATACAAACCAAATGTACGTCTGCATTTCTTTTTATTCTCATGCTAAATTAAGTCTATGTTTATCTTTTTACATCCTCATACAAACCAAACCTATGTCTACATCTTTTTTATTCTCCTACAAATCAAACTGATGTCAACCTTTTTGAATCTCACACAAACCAAACCGATATACATAAATATAATTTTCTTTTTCTCCTCTTTTGTTAAATATTTTGTTCTTTATATAAATATGTATGAAAATCTTTTTCTTTTTTTTTTTAGTGTTAAATTCATTTATTTTTTACAGATATTAACCTCATTTTATATAAAACAACTTCTTTCCTTCCAGGTAGATAATCTGCAGGTAACCGACTACATAATTTCAACCCAAGCACGTGGTGTGTGCACGTGCACCCGCACACACACACACACACACGACACTAATCCCATAACTATTTTCCAATCGCCCTGTTCACACTCCTTCTCCTTATCCCTTTTCTTCTATTTACGATTGGGCTTCTGGTTCTTTCTAAAGTCTTCTTATTCTCTTCACTTCCAGTAGCCCATTGCGCCGTGGTGTCATTATTGCCTTGCTTGGGATGAAATGATTAAAAATAATTACAGATAGCTCAAAAAAGAAAAAATATTTATGGAATTAGTGTTGTGTGTGTCTATGATTGTGTGTGTGTGTGTGTGTGTGTGTGTGTGCGTGTGTGTGTGTGTGTGTGTGTGTGCACGCGCGCCATGTAGTTGAGCTGAAATTACGTAGTCGGCTGCTCTGGGAGAATCTCCTTGCAGAGAAAGAGTCCGTATAGCTGCTACTACATCCTAAAGCAAAAAGAAAGAAGGGGTACTTCCCTTTAATATCCTGAATAGAACGCCGGCTAGCATAAGATGAGGTAATTCCACAATCTCCTCTTCTTAAATCGTATTTATACCACAACTTACAAAATCTAATTAAAATGCGTTTTCTACTGTGTAGGCCTCCGTCGGTCCGGGTTGACCATGGATAACATCCAAGTTGTCTGCTTGGCTGGAGCATCGATGCGAGAGTGACAATCTCTATTGCAGAGGTCGCATTTGTTTTCTGTCTCTCGTCTGTTGGCTCTGTCACTTTACTTTCTGCGGGCCCGCCTTTCCGTGATGACTCGTGTCAGCTTCTCCTCCTCTGACTTGAGGTGTTTGGTCAGGGTTCCTCTCCATTCGGATTGTATGGCTGCCAGGCTCTCCCAGGACTCTGTGTTGATGTCCACAGCTTTCATGTCGCGTCTCACTACATCGCAGTTCTGCAGCTGTGGCCATCCGGCTGGTCTCCTTCCAGCGGCCAGCTCTGCATACAAGCGGTCTTTGGGAATGCGGCCGTCTAGCATGCGATGGACATGCTGGGCAAACCTCCTCGAGACAGGACCGCAGTGTTGGACACCTTATCTTGCCATGTTATTCCCAGGATGCGTCAGATGCTTCTCATGTGAAAGGTGTTCAAACGCCTTTCTTGCCTGGCGTACGTGGTCCAAGCCTCGCAGTCTGCTGATAACGCAGGCGTTGTACACTGCCATCTTGATCTTCGCCGACAACTTGGGATTGGTCCACACACGTTTTGTGAGGCGCGCAAGTGTTGTGGCTGCCGTCCCGATTCTCTTGTCAATCTCTGCGTCTAAGGAGAGGTTGTCAGTGATAGTGGAGCCAAGGTACGTGAACTGATGGCCCGCATCGAGCTCATAGTCATCAATGGTGATGTCTGGTGGTGTTTCGGTACATTGTCCCAGTACGTTTGTTTTCAGGCTGATGGTCAGCCCGAAGTCTCAGCATGCATGGGAGAAACGGTTCATCAGTGACTGAAGTTCACACTGGGTGTGAGTCTCTACCGCCGCATCGTCGGCAAAAAGCGTGTCTCTGACAAGGGTTTCGCGTACTTTGGTTCTGGCTCTGAGGCGAGCGAGATTGAAACCCGCCATCTGATCTCGTACGCAGGTAAATCCCTTCTCTAGATGTGCCGAATGTATGCTTCAGAAGCAACGCGAAGAATATCCCGAATAGAGTGTGGGCGAGGACGGAGCCCTGTTTGACCCCACTGCAGATGTTGAAGGGCTCAGAGGTGTTGCCATTAAACTGCACAGTCCCGCGCATGTCACTATGGAATGACTCAATCAAGCTCTGCAGCTTGATGGGCAGCCAATTTTGGATGGGATTCTGAATAGGCCTTTTCTGCTGACAAGATCAAACGCCTTGGTGAGATCAATAAAAGCGACATACAGAGGCATCTGCCGTTCTCTGAACTTCTCCTGTAGCTGGCAGAGGGAGAAAACCATGTCAACTGTTGATCTTTCAGCTCGGAAACCGCACTCTGGGTAGACACGTTCGGCAAGTTTCTGCAGGCGGACCAAGATGACCCGAGCGAAGACTTTGCCCAAAACGCTGAGCAGCGAGATACCTCTGTGGTTGTTGCAGTCGCTTCGCTCACGCTTGTTCTTGTAGAAGGTGACGATCTTGGCATCTCTCATGACCTGAAGTACGGCCGCTTCTTTCCATCACCTATAGATGTCCTCGTGCAATGTGAGCAGTAGGGCAGTTTTGCAGTACCCGATCAGGTTTTCTACTACATTAAATAAATCATAATTACCCAATGTTTTCAACTGGGGAATGTTCTGAACCAACATAACATTACTCACAAGTTTTTTTAATACAATTGCTCACCCAGTACAAGGCTCAAGAGCCACTCAAAGTAGAGGATTACAGAATAAGGAGGGAGTAATAGGTGTATATCATGGGGAAATATAGGATAGATAACAGTTAACCCAAAATTTGTAGTGGTTTAGATCATAGTGATCAGACAAACTTTCTCTTGATAGTCTGTTCCACAAACAGTTCTGAGGAATAAACTATCTGACTTGAACTTCCTGACTTTTACCAATGGAATGAAAATGATTTAATCTTGTGTATGTGGCATGATGGGTTCTAGCTGTGAGAGTCTGAACTGGTGCAACTAATGAATATAGCTTGTCTGAACATTTGCCATGAAAATAGTAATAGATTAATAAAAGGCTAGCAACATTTCATCTGTGGGAAAGAGGCGGCAGTGTGGAAAGTAATTCATCACCCACAAGGCCGCATAAATGCTTTTGAATTCTGTCAAGCCTGGATAGTGAGAACTGGGCAACTCCAGCCCATATATGGCACCAGTACTCCATTTTTGGTCTGAACTGGTTTTTTTAAAAAATAGAGCATGGCAGAAGTCAGGTACTTTCTAGAGTGGTGCAAGGAACCAACTATTTTTCTAGTATCTTTAGCAACGGTATGAATATACAAGTTCCACTTGAGGTCTGGAATGAGCTTTAGTCCAAATAGACGTTCAAGTGAAGGAGCCACTTATTTGTTAGTGACTACAGAATTATGCTAACCCTCCACCTCTGTTTTGGTTTTCCTATACTTCGCTTTCCATGCACCATACCCTCAAGAAACAGTTCAGCAAAGACCACACGATCTTGTCCTAAGGGAACTAGAGACCCTATCAGGATTTACTATTGGTGGATGTAATCTTAACAATATAATATACGCGGATGACACTGTCTTATTGGCCGATTCAGAATTAATTCTACTGGACATCTTTGACAGGGTGGTAGATCAGATAGCAAACTTATCTGTCAGGCTGAAAAATGACCAATTTTGAGAGATCATGTGAGATATGCAAGAGGCCATAAAAAAGGTGAGAAAAACGGACTAAATATCAACTGTAAGAAAAGTGAAACTATGGCGATCAGCAAGAGAAAAAGCCCAGGATGCTAATTACGAATGGGATATGTCAGTATCAAGCAGGTGCAAAAGTCCAAATACCTGGAAAGAGTTTTAACAGAGCATGGATAATGTGACACCAAGATCCAACACCTGGTATTTCCAAGAAGTCATCCATCTAGGTACTGATCAGACTCAATGTTGCTTAACTTTGGTGATATAACAGTAAGCCTTACCAACTGCACCTCCAAGCTTACAGCACCTGGTATTTCTAAGTGGTCACCCATCTATGTACTGACCAAGCTTGACATTGCTTAACTTTGGTGATCGTACAGAAACTGGTTTCGCAATGTGATATGGCAGTAAGCCTTACCAACTGCACATCCAAGCTTATAACACCTGGTATTTCTAAGAGGTCACCCATCTAGGTACTGACCAAGCTTGATGTTGCTTAACTTTGGTGATCGTACAGGAACTGGGTTCTCAACATGATGTGGCAGTAACCCTTACCAGCTGCACATCCAAGCTTATAGCACCTGGTATTTCTAAGAGGTCACCCATCTATGTACTGACCAAGTTTGACATTGCTTAACTTTGGTGATTGTATGGGAACCGGTTTCTCAACATGATATGATAGTAACCCTTACCAAATGCACACCAAGCTTATAGCACTTGGTATTTCTAAGTGGTCACCCATCTAAGTACTGACCATGATTGTGTTGCTTAACTTTGGTGATCATACGAGAACCGATGTTTCAACATAATATGGCCATAAGCCCTATTATGATCTTGAGCAAGTTACTCTATTGTCTACCACAACTAGTTGCAGACCACAGAATTATGTTATCCCTCCACCTCTATTTTGGTTTTCCTCTACTTCTCTTTCCATACACCATACTTTCTAGAAACAAATAGTTCTAACGATTTTCTTCAGATGGTCTTGGATTGATCACATTTCTAAGAGTGATAATTCTCACTTGCCAGCTTTTGTATATCTTCATTTTAAGCAATCTTGCAAGAATGATCTAAAAGTTGCAGTAAAATACTGAATAAGCCGTAAGTGGGCTGCTTTTGGAAAACATAAGGTATGCTAAAACCAACAAGAATACTGATCCATACAAAAACAATGATATACTTTATATGCATTCTTCCAGCTGTTTTATTTGGTTCAGATTGTGTGGCATAGACTTAAAAACATAAGGTATGCTAAAAACAACAAGAATACTGATCCATGCTAAAACAACAAAGATATACTTTATATACATTCTTCCTGCTGTTTTGTTTGGTTCAGATTGTGTGGCATGGACTTAAAAACATAAGGTATGCTAAAACCAACAAGAATACTGATCAATACTAAAACAAGAAAGATATACTTTATATACATTCTTCTAGCTGTTTTATTTGGTTCAGATTGTGTGGCATGGACTTAAAAACATAAGGTATGCTAAAATCAACACATGTCATCTGTGTATCTTATCTTGTTAATATTGCATCTACTGGTAATAAATTCTAATAGGAACACCTTGCTGTATGTGTTGAATAAACTTGGTGAGAAGACATATCCTTACCTTACACCACTTTTTAGTTTTGCATACTTGCTCAACTCATTTTTTATCTGCATACAGGATGTCTGTTCTAAGTAAATGTTTTGGATTATACTAATATCTTACCCCTAAAGGTCAGGTTTTCCTAATACTTCAAATAGATCTTTGTGTCAGTTCTCTATTTAACCTACTAAATTATCTTATCTTTATAATTCATCTCATTTTAACAACTCATATGTATGTATATTTAAATAAATACAATTTAACTAAATATTTGTTTGCCTTCTTGAATTGCGATATCTAATTACCCAAAGAACAAAGCTCAAAATTCATACAGTGATCTTTTAAGCTTTAGTGAAGTTTCCAGCTGCTTAACTTTAACATTTTAATAATGTTTAAGGTACTTAATTAAATTTGAAAAGAACAATCAATCTTTCTATATGGCAGTGAATACTGGAAAATTTCCTCAAAGATGAAGAAAAGACTTGAGGTAACAGAAGGATGCTAAGAATTCCATGGACTGAACATGAGAGCAATCGTAAAGTTTTAGAGAAAATGGAAACAAAAAGAACAATTATATTAAACATCAGAAACAAAGAGTTGAAATTTCTAGGATATGTAATGAGGAAAGAGGGCTTAGAAAATTTGACACTCATAGGACATATTGAAAGCACAAGGGACAGAGGAAAACAGTGCATGATCTATCTAATAAACATGTGCAAAGGGATGGCAGAACAGGGTTTAGGAGAGATAGCAAAAAGACAAAATTTGCTAAGATCTACAAAGGACAAGAAATCGTGGAGAGCTATGATTAATTAAATTTGCATTCTTTCATTCATCATGACTAAACTGTTAATAAAGATTTGTAGCAAATAGGTGCTGCATCTTAAAATGGATGACGTTGCTGTTAGCAGTGACATGCAGAGGTTTGGTTTTCTCGGGGCCAACTCCTTGATTGTATGCCCCTAAGACACCTTTGGGAGCGAGGGGGGGGTCCAATACTGAGAAATGTAAGAAAGGAAGATATTTTAAATATGGAAAAACAGATAAAACATGAAATAAACACTTTATTCAAATTAGATATAAACTAAATTTTTATTTCACTCTTTGATTGGTTGCCATCCCATTTGTCACACCCTCTGCCCACCCACTTCTGCATGCTACTGGCTGTTAGTTATCAATTGGTAACAAGAGAAGTTATAACTTGTTACAGATGAAGTTGAGAACATACAAAGTAAATAATTTTCGACGTTTTCAAAAGAGATGATTTCAACATATGGAGGAATTTTATACATATATTTATGCAGAACAACATAGTTCTCAAATGCAAGTGAAAGAAAATTATATTTAAGTGTATACAGGTAGTTAAAAAAAACCTTTGTGTTGTTGGATTACAGCCCCCTGACAATAATCACAGTTGGTACGATATTGGATTACTACTGTCTGATAATAATCACAGGCAGCATGATATTTGAAAGACTCTTCATCTTTTCCCTTTGACTTTAGGAGCGGCAACACATTTCCTTTCACTCCAATAAGTATGAGGCATGTAAGTACTTCAGAGACACAGACTGAAGATTGTATTGAACTGTTCATAACTTCAACTTCATTGCTGTCTTTATCCTTCTGTAACATGATTTGTTAACACATTCATTAACTTTTGTTTGTTTGAGTTCCATGTTTGTTGTTATTTTTTACCCAGGCTCACATGAGTTCGCAAGATTTTGTTTGTGGGACAAATGTATTAAGAGGCATAAAATGATAATATACTCCATTTCTGCAACAGTGTACATAGCCATAGTGTGTGTGTGATGTCCATGTGGTTTGTTTGAAATTAACTAACCACTAAAAAGAATTAAATAGGAAGAGAGAGATTGAGGTGTTTCACTAATCTTATTCTTTTCAAAAAGACTTATTTGAAGCAATGACAGAAATAGATAAACTCTTGCACAATGTGAAATTTGAAAAGAAACAAACATTTATTAACATAACAAAAAAATATTTTTTCAACAGTAAAATGTACAAAAATACAAAATGTCCTTGAACAAAATTTCGTGTGTGCCTCAGCTTGTCTGGAAAAATTAACAGTTCTTGTAAATATAAATTTCAGTTCCCTCATAAAAAAGAAACAGTTCATGAAAATCAATATTTTTTTCTTTCCTTAGCAACAAAAAAATTAATGAAAAGAAAACTTATCTCAAGCAATGCTTATCTTCTGGACTCTTTAAACAAAATATTCTGATTTTAGAAATATTCACAGTTATACAAAAACGTATAATTTTAGAAAATACATTTGAATATATAAGATAAGATCTCTAGTTTTGAGATAGACATTCATAGCTATCAGATAATCCTTGGAGTTTTAAGGAGTGGGGTGGTGATGGTGGTTCTTCTTCTTCTTCAGTAGTAGTAGTAGCAGTTTTACTTATCTAAGATAGCAGCTTTTTTTTGCCTTAGTGTGGTCAATCCCTTTTTCAGCTTGTCAAAAATATTTTCTCTTTTATATTACAAATAAGTGGCCCCAACTGTATCAAAATCAACACCTTAACAGGTGTATACATTTGATCTCCATTGGTTAAAAACTCTAAATTAGCTAGCCAATCAAAATTTACAACATAAATTTAGCAGGTTTTGACAATATCAAAGTTGGGTCTCTTTTTTGCTAATAGATTTTTATTCATAATTTTAATAAACCAACTGATTTCATTTTGGTGGGAATTTTTTCCCACATCAAATTGGAGGCTCTTTTTTGTAAATTTTTGTTCATGTATTTTTTTTATAAACCAACTGGCTTCATTTAGGTGGTTTCTTTGAAAACAAAATCATGTCAGAAACTTTCTAATTTACATAGTTTTCAAACAATTTTAACATTATCCTTTTTATTATATAAATAATTTTTATAATATTTTTAAAAAATTGCGACAAGTTACAAAAGTGATTTTAGACTTTTTCTTTCTTGAATTTGGAACTTGAATTGAAATATAAAATGCAATATATCCATTTAGACAAATGAAAAAAAAGAACCATTTTTGATGATTTTAACCCAAGACTTTTAGTAAAAAAAAGAAAAAAATCAAATATAATTACTAGTGGAAACATTTTTTCAGAAGAAATTTAAATCTTGCCACTGTCAAAATTCTAGAAACATTTGGATTGCAAAATATAAAACTATATCAAATTTTTTTCATTTGTTTTTACTTACAATAATTTTTTTTTAAATTGAATATATTATTATCAAAAATATAAAAAATTCAGCATACTTATCAAAGACTTAACATTTCATAATGTTTTACTTGTTACAGTCATGAAACATATTCCCCTATTAATACAATATTCTTGTCTGGACCCTGATGAGCAAAACATTGTAAAACTTGAAGTTGATCTTTGATAAATATAGTGAACTTATAAATTTGTTGTTAACAATAATAATTATTGCTTTTAATATCTACTGACAAAAATTCTGTTCACCTTGACAGACATGAAATTATAAAATGTTATGTATATCAATAGGTATTATTATTATTATTATTATTATTTTAAAATTGATTGATCCATTTTCTATGGCTTATCAAATCTTTGCAATTTATTTAAAGCCAGATAATATTTTTAGATTGTAAGAATTTTTTTAATCATTTATCATCTTACTGATTAACCCATAGCTGGGAGAGAAGATGTGGATTCATACCTTTCCCAAAGGTATTTTTGCATAAGTGAATATATCAAACATGACAGATTTTGGAACTTGGCTCTCCAATTAACAATTTTGAGCCATTATTACACCACCTGCACATCCAAGTTTACAGCACTTGGTATTCCCATCTAAGTACTGACCAGGCTCAAAGTTGCATAAGTTCATTTAAAATTGAATGTATGTAAAATTTACATATGGAGGTACAAGTGTCTTAATGGTCAAAGTGTGAAGAATGGAATAATTGAGAGAAATTCTAATTTGGC